AATTTGGTTGTAGCCCGAGTAACCATCAAGAAAGCAATAGAAAGACCTTCCCGCTAACCGATCCAACATTTGGTCAATAAAAGAGAGTGGAAAATGATCCTTTCGGGTGACATTGTTCAACTTCCTATAGTCCATGCAAACTCTCCATCCGGTGACGATCCTTGTTGGGATTAGCTCATTCTTATCATTGAGAACCACGGTCATCCCTCTTTTCTTTGGCACACATTGTACCGGACTCACCCAAGTGCTATCCGAGATTGGATACACTACTCCGGTATCTAACCATTTTATGATTTTCTTCTTGACCACTTATTGCATAGGAGGATTGAGCCTTCTTTGGTGTTCCACACATGGCTTGAACCCTTCCTCCAAGTTGATCTTGTGCATATAAAAGGACGGACTTATCCCCCAGATATCCGCAATGGTCCAACCTAATGCCAACTTGTGCTTTTTGAGAACATCAAGCAATAAAGAAACCTACATACTAGACAAAGAGGATGAGATAATAACAGACAAAGATTCATTAGGGCCTAAAAATTCATACCTCAAATGTGAAGGCAAAGGCTTCAACTCAAGCTTTGGTGGCTCAATGATAGACGGTTTAGTGGGAGGAGTAACCCGATTCTCCAAATAAAGGGATAACTTTGCGGGCTTGTAAGAGTAGGAACCAAGTCCCTACAAAGCCATCACGGCTTCAATGTAACCATCCATTGCCTCATTCTCCGAATTGAGTAGAACCGCATGCAAAGATTCATCCATACAAATTTCTTGCGTATCCATATCTACCACTTCATCGACCACATCAATCACGGATATCACTCCATAGTCATGTGGATACTTCATTGATTTTTGGATGTGGAATACCACTTCTTCATCATTCAACCGGAATTTGAGCTCTCCAGCTTTAACATCACATATGGCCCTCCCGGTAGCCAAGAAAGGCCTGCCAAGAATGATCGGGATTTCTACATCCACTTCACAATCAAGAATCACAAAATCCGCGGGGAAGTAGAATCTATCCACTTTGACAAAAATATCATCAATCACACCAAGTGGTCTCTTCAAAGTACGATCTGTCGTTAATAATTTCATTGATGTAGGCCTTGGGTCGCCCAAGCCCAACTTCTTGAAAATGGTATAAGGCATCAAGTTGATACTTGCCCCCAAATCACACAAAACTTTTGCGAAGCTTGTCAACCCAATAGCACAAGGAATAGTGAAAGCCCCGGGATCTTCTATCTTATTAACCCCTGTTTGTGAGATGATTGCACTACATTGGTGAGTGACCTTAATGGTCTCAAAATTAACATTCTTCTTCTTAGTGACCAAGTCCTTCATGAATTTAGCATAACCGGGCATCTTTTCAAGAGCTTCCACAAAAGGTACACTGATGGTGATTTGATTCAACATATCATAGAACTTTTGCAATTGGCCTTCTTGTTGTTGCTTTGAAAATATTTGTGGAAACGGAGGAGGCGGTCTCAGTAATTGCTTGTACAATCTAGGTGCCTCCTTGCTTGCCTCATTGATTGGTTCTTTCTCCTTTGAAGGGACTTCATTTTCATTTTGAGAGGTGCTTGGTGCACCTCTTCAACAACAATTGGACTTACTATTGGCAACGCACACTTGGGAACTTCAATCACCTCGGGCCTCTCATTGACCATGAGAGGTCCATCTTGCTTAGGAACTTCATCAACTTTAGGAGGATCCTTAACCTTGGGAAGAGCCACCTTAGGAAGTTTGGGACTCTTGACCTTAGGAAAAGCATATTTGAGAGGCAACTCCTCTTCGTCATCATCATCCTGAACTACAATGGATCTCTTCTTTATAATTTTGCTCCGCATTGTGAAAATGGCAAACACTCGCTTTATACCCTCATCTCTCTTTGGATTTGGAATTGTGTCACTAGGAAATGATCCTTGTGGTCTCACATTCAATTGAGAAGATATTTGACCCAATTGAGTCTCAATTTGCTTGATTGAAGTGGTATGAGAAGCTACCACTTGATTCATTTCTCGCCTCTCTTTGTCGGATTGCTCTTGATTCTTGAGCATCCTTTCCATAATCCCTAAAAGTTGGTTATCAGTTGAAGAGTCACCTTGGTTGTTGTATGGAAGATGTTGGTAGGATCTTTGTTGATATTGTAGGGAAGATCCACCACCTCGATTACCTTGATTACTGCCACTCCAACCTTGATTTCCTTGATTGTTATTGCCCCAATTGCCTTGGTTATTACTCGACCTCCATTGTCCTTGGCTAGTTCCTTGAAAGTTACCTCGTTGGTTTTGATAGTTACTCACAAATTGAACTTCCTTATTTTGCTTTTGATAAGAATCATCTTGAGTGTAGCGTCCATTATCTTATGAGTACATCTCCTCTTGAGGTTGACATTGATTACCCTTCATATTTTGCTTAGAACCCAAGACATGAACACCCTCCACGACATGTACTTGCCGCAATGCTTGAGTTTGTTGAAGTTGTGCTTTTGCAAGTTGATTCATAGTGGTGGTCAACTCGGCAATGGATTGACCATGATCGTGCAACTCCTTGTTGAGGTGAATCATATTCGGATCTCCTTGAGGCACATTCTCTCGGGATTGCCAAGCGGATGATGTCTCTGCCATCTCATCAAGTATGGCACAAGCCTCCGGGTAAGGCGTGGTCATAAAGTTTTCACCGGCAAGTTGGTTCACTACACATTGATTGGTTGTGTTAATCCCACGGTAGAAGGTTTGTTGCAACATGTTCTCGGTCATATCGTTGTTAGGACATTCCTTCACCATGGTTCTATAGCGTTCCCAAAATTCGTGTAGTGGCTCATTCAGTTCTTGCTTGAATGCCAAGATTTCATCCCTCAATGTAGTCATGTGCCCGGGTGAGAAGAATTTGGCAATAAATTTCTCCGCCAACTCATCCCAAGTATGGATGGTAAGCGCTCCAACCAATCCAAGGCTTTTTCTCTTAGGGAGAAAGGAAATAACCTTAATTTCAAAGCGTCCTCGAACACATTTGTTTGCTTACTTCCCCAACAAGCATCTACGAATCCCTTTAAGTGCTTGTATGCATTTTGATAATGTGCTCCGGTGAAGTAGCCTCTTTGCTCAAGCAAGGTGAGCATGACATTTGTAATTTGAAATTTTCCCGCCCTAATACGAGGGGGCAATTGTACTTGCATAGCCATCATTTAGTGCGGCATGTTGTTGAGCCGGTTAGCTATGTGGAGGTAGTGGTAGTGGATGCGGCGGAGGTTAGTGTTGGTTTTGACCTCGACCACTCCTGTTCCCTTGAACCGGAGCCGCTTCTTCATCTACCATATCTTCATCAATGGCCCCAAGAGGCAAATCACCAAGGTCATTGTTGTTCTCCATTGGTAACCTACAACAAGCACACACGAATCAAAGTATCACGAAGAAAAGATAAGAACTCAAGAAAACACACAATAACAAAGTAACACAAGAATACCGTACTCCCCGGCAACGGCACCAAACATTAGTGACGTCCAATCCTACTCTCTATATAAAAGTAGCACAGTCGTTAGTAATAATTAACCCAACAAAGGTTGGGCTCAAATCCCACAAGGAGTAGGTATGTGTTAGAGTGTCCAAATGCGTGCAAACTTGATGATTCTTAATGTAATCTTCAAACAAAGAGTGGTTGTTCAATTATGTCTACAATTACTACTAAAGTTTAACTAAGGAATTCTATCAAACACGTAGAGTGCAAATAAGATGTAGTTATAGCAAAATAAGAGAAAGGCGCTAGGATTGCTTCCCCCTCTTGTAGGCTATGCTTTGGGTATACAAATCGTCAATTCTAGTTAATTAAGCATGTGTTATGACCTCAATTTCTATTCTACCAACTTAATGTCTTCCAACACTTGAGTCGTTTCTACCCCGAGTTGCTCTTCCAAGATAACTAAGGCTCAATGATAAGCAATTGATTAGCCCAAGTAGAAATCACACTATTCCTTGCTATATTTCGTTAATCAAATAATTAACCCACTTAATTTCTTGCTAATTACTTTATACCTAAGCTAAGTTCTACTCTTCCAAGCTAGAACAAGCAAAATAGGCATGGATTTAGTGTTTGCAACCACAAAATCAATCAATAAATCATCAAGTAATTGGATAACATAAAGCTTAATCAAATTTTGAATTTATATTAATAACCCAAAAATATAACCACACTTAGGGTTCACAATCCTAACTTAATAAACTTAGCTAGACATATTAAGAAGGGAGAATACAAAAAGAGATGAAAAACTAAACATATAGCTAAAGAGGAAAGAAAGATTGCGTAGAACAATGGTGAAGTCACCCAAATTCCTCAAGAAAAAATCCCCAACAGCTGCTACACAAGTCTCCTTGCCAAAGAGATACTCTAGAATGACTTAAAATAGCTATTTATACTAAGCCCCACGACTGGACAAAATTACCTTTCAGTCAATTGTGTAGGCTGGATGCATGTGCGTAGGCTAATTGCGTAGTCTACGCAAGTTTGAACGCTTCAGCTTTTTTCCTCTGCGTAGGATATCTACGTAGCCTATGCAGGTTTGCGTAGGAAAAAACAGAATGTCTTCAAATCTTTACTTCTCAGGTCTTCCTTTGCGTAGCCTACGCAAGGCTGCGCAGGGTCTTCAGCTCAAACTTTAACTTTTCTTCCATTTTTCACTTGGACTTGGTCTTTTCTTGATATTTTTGATTATTTTCCATTCTTTAAGCGTACTCAAACCTTCATTACCTGAAATCGAGCCATTCAAAACATAATTAGTTAATTTTTTCCAATAAATGGGACATAAAATCTTATAAAAACACAAGAGACATTGGCTAAAAAGCCAACTTATCATTAGAGTAGGTAGTCTAGAGTGTTCATAACAGTAGTATTGGCACGCAGTCTCGCTTTCTGTTGGTAGTATGTTTTTATGACTAACCGTTGTTTGCTTTCATTGTTGATCACCTTACTATCTTATTATTTTTATTTAGCTTTTATATGGCTTTATGGTACTGTCCCCTCGTGTCTATATTTTTATTAATGTGGTGCTTGTGCTTTCCTAAGCCGAGGGCCTATTGGAAATAACCTCTCTATCCTAACAAGGTAGGGGTAAGGTCTACGCACACACTACCCTCCTCAGACCCCAATGTGGGATAATACTGGGTATGTTGTTGTTGTTGCTATAAACCACCCAGCAAGCCTAGCATACAATCTCTCAAAGCTTAATAGTTGATCACTATGGAAACATTGCCCTCTCAAAATATGTCTTCTCCTTGAGGAATGAAGAACAGGTCCAACCCTTGTAGAATTCGGTAGTGTCCACTGTCCATAGTATTTAGCTGAGAGTTTGAGGAGTGATTGGTAAGAGTAAGCTACCATTAAGGTTGAATCTTTAGGTACAACCCAATCTCCTAGCCGAAACTGTCTATACGTCCTATTCTTGATATCCAGAGCTGTGAGTTAGTGCTGTTAAATTTTGCTCTGTAATCTGTGAGTTTGATGTAATGTAAATTGCATGGGAATAAAAAAATGATCTCATTTATGTAGTGCATAATTCTGATAGTACATGATTACAAACAGATTTATCACTATTCGTAATTCCCTCCAATAAAAGGGAAAGATAAAGAATCTCAACCTGCCTGGACTTTAGCACCCAAGTGGCAATCCTTTTGTTCCAGAACATTAGCCTAATAGGTATATCGACAGCTGCAGGTCAAAAATATAGTTGAAAATCATAAGCTATTTTAAAGCCAAAATTGCATGAATGGATCTTGCATTTCCCAGTTAAGTCAATGATGATGCAACTTCAATGGCACTGCCTAATGGCCACGCTGCTTCAACAAGGGATTTCTTGTATTGAACCTTTTTCACCAATGTGATTTCTTGCTGAGGATCAAGTCCTGCTCAGTAAAGAATAGGAGTAAATCACTCAAAATGCACCGAAATGAAAGTAATGTCTACTTGCTGAAATATGAACCTAATTCTTACTCACCGAATCCATCTACAAGTAGAGTGTACTGATAGACAAGATCCATGCACAAGTATGGCAAGTTATCAGGATCCACACGAGGAAATGCAGATTTGGCACCCTCAAGTCCAGTTTCACAAGCACGCTTAGCTGCACTTTCGTAATCAACTGGGTGAACTTTTGCCACAGCTAAACTTGGATTAATCATACCAGCCTATGCCCACAACATATAAAATTTGTGCCACATTAGAGGAAGGAAAAATTTCCCTCTCAGAACAACATATTAGAGTACATCTCTAACTCATTAAATTTCCATAAGCAGCTTAACTCGAGTGATTCATACCTCAGCAGCCCTGTCAAAGAAAAATGAAGCAACAAACATATTCTTTTGGCCATCTCCCCCTCCACCATTCCACACCCCACCAAAGGTGCATTTCATGTGGGTACATGTTGGTTCATTAACTTTCAGAGCCTTCAGAGAAACCTCCCTACAACTACTCAAGCTTGAACCTTGAGACATGGCCGATGCTGGGTAAACTGCTCCTCCATACTTGTATGACCCTTGAAAGAAAACATTGTTCATCTTCAATTGTATACTTGCTAATACAGGAAAATAAATACATATTTTTCAAATCACAGTAAGACAATGTAAATTAAGGATTCAGTGCTCCTACTTTCTGCACCTTATTAGTGAATAAGGTCAGATATGAAATTCAGGTAAGGGAAGGAGCTTTTTCTCTAGTTAACCTCCTTTTTTACTTCTTAGAGAGAGAAATGATGCTTCCAGAAAGCACTGCATCAGAGAAAAAAAAGTATAGAATGATCATTGCACCAGGAGAAAATTAGTATATACCATGATAGCCTCCCAAGATGCAAGGATTTCCAGATTCATCGGTCGCCTTCAAGATCTCAGCTCGAGCTGCTAGTAAGCCGTAGTGCAAATAGCTGTAAACAATATACATATATCACATTAAGCTCGTACAGGATAAAGATGACAAAACACAAGATAAGCCCACTCCAAATAACAAGTGAAATATGTTCTTGCCCGCAAGTTGGATCAGAGATTCATCCTGATTAAAAAGTTGGATCAAAGATTCAAGAAAT